TAATACCTATCGAATAATTTATTTATTTTTTAGATTTTTTCTCAGTAGTGCAGAAGTAAACTGTTAACAGAGTTCATCCAAAATTTTTAATGATAGACTTTTTAAAATACAAAAATCACGTATGAAACGGAAGGTTTATAAATTAAGATAAAATGTCGACATGTTAGACGGTTATAAAATCTAATAGTAATTTTCAATATAAAATTTTCCGCATATAGAATGTGAGTTGAGCGCCGTGACACTTTTATTCGCGAATTTGTTAATTAATATACTTTTCTATGAGAAACATCAAATTAAGTATAAAGTGGCGAAGGTGTGATATATCGAATTTCTGACCTCAACAGCTATTTACTGATTATTCCTTGGAGCTGAGTTAACATAACGTCGTTAACATAACATAAAGTTACTCGCTTATGCGACGTATGCGGCTGTACCATCGACTCATTTTCTTGTTAAAAACGGATACGTGCGTCTCGGTTCGGAAATAACCGTTTCAATTTTTCTTGCTCATATGGAATGTAGTCGCAAGAAGAAGATGACGTTGATTAATGGTACCATATGATCGGCGAGCCATGGCTTAACGTCAGAGCCATTTTAAAGCATTCCCTCGGAACTCTTGCTTCTGAAGGCTCCGCCCTATATTGAGTATATCGAAATTACAATCCAACATTACAACTGAATTTGAACTAAACACGCAATTTTCAAGGATTTTATCGATCTCACGAATTTGTGATGATTGCGCAGTAATTTGGAAATATTCGTCAATTTTGCATTTGCGTCGCTCTTTCTAGTTTGAAGTTTCTTCTTATGTTAACTACGCAAATTGTGCTCCTTAGGTTTTGAATATCATTCATTCTTTCGTAAGTCGTAATAACATATCTCATAACATAACTAGAACTTTTGTTTATCAAAATCGTTTATTTAGAATCATTGAGAAACTAAACTAGACCGATCATGTAGGTCTCTGTTTCCGCGGACGATAATGTATTAACTTTTTCGCTACTAATTTCGTTTTTTAAATATATAATTCTTTTTTACTTTCATTTTATTAAATATATTAATATATAACATAGTTTTAGCAAAAAAATTAAATATTAAATTTTATATTAGGCGTCAAAGAGATAGGGCCGATACACTAATGTCCCACTGGGGTTTTTGGGAAGACATATTTGTCCCAATGGTAATAAGTAGAGTGATAGCTGATGTATTCTGAATGCCAAGAAAACTGTTCATTCAATTAAATAAAGTTATTATTAATGGTAGGGAAAACACATATATATCTCATTGTTGATAAAAAAAGTGTTAAATTTTAAATATTAATTCGTGCAATGTTGAGGCGTTCGCGTATCTTGAGTGCAGCACGTAATAAATAAAATGGACCACATTATCGCGTCATCAACGAGAGCATGGTGCGGGATGACGATTGTGCTCGGCTCCACCTCGTTGTAGCTTTCCGTGTCGCAGGCAGAGCCGTGTCACTACCTCCGCGAGCATACGATATATCATCGATGCGGCAGAAGCTTTTAAGCTGTCCTGAAAATACCGACCGGCTGTACGAGTTATTAATGTCCCGCCTTCTTATAAAGTACTCAATTTTCGTTCTGTAAGGAGGAGAAATATTAGCCGTAATACGGCCACCGCCGCACAACGAAACGCAGCAGTATATCAGCCGGGCGAAAATTACAGCGCCGACGAAGATGTTAATATCGGCGAACTTTATCGCCCGCGCCGGAAGCGCGCTTGCGCTCGCGGCACACATTGTTTTGACAAAAGGGCACCCGGGCGAACTTTACGGCGGAGTATGCGAAACTACGGTGGTAGAGACGCCGCGGACGAGCCACTGCCCTTGGACGATGTGTGGGCGATAAATCGACGAGAAGCCGAAAAGTGGTTGTAGTTTCGACTCTCCTGCGGCGGGGCAATCTTATTGTTTTAATATCGTTCTCTCGTCGTAGCCCGTCGTGTCTGTCTATTATTGCACCTCGCGGCCACCCCAGACGAAGAAAGTTGAAGTCGATTTCGATTTCGCTGGTGTGTGACTATGAGCGCAAATCAATTTGCACGGTCGGGATTTGCTAGTTTTTTATATATACTTGCCGAGTGGGAGGGAAGAGAAAGAGAGACTCGTGTGGGGGAGACTTTAAAGCGTCGTTTCACGCAACGTGTCTTTTGAGATCAATAGAGGACCTTCAGTCCTCGTCGCAGTAAAAGAGTAACTTCTGTAGTGGAGCGAACACACTGACGACGGAGAATAGAAACTTTATGTCATCGATGTCGTGTACATACGAGGGACCGTTACGTTATAACGGCGTTCGAAACTCGCGAAATATTCTCGCTCTTGCTTCCCGCGCGATGAAACTTGCATTCTAGTGACTTTTTGCAGGCAGCAATAGCAGAAGTCGGTCCGGTAATATATAGAAACGCGCGCGCGCATACACGATACCTACGGATCATTCATAGGGAAGGTGTATTGGTAAACTTTTCGCGCGTGGCGGAGGGGGGAGTGTTGTATGCAAAGCTTGGTCCGCGGGTGGTACTCCCGGGGATGATTCGGAATCCCCGCAACGTCGAGGAATACGCGGGGCCACACACTTTAAGCAAACTTTTCATCCGAGGGTCTTCCTCGGCTCCGCATTCGGTTCCTTTCATACCCCGTCGTCCCTGGCAGGAGCTTGTTTATAGCACCCTGTAGATACCGTAAAATAGGAAATAGCACCCCGGGGGCGAGACGGAGTTTTTCCCGCGACGTGATTGGAGTTAAGACAAGTCCTTCTGTCCGCCGGCGTCGCGAGGCCGTCTCTTTCTCTCGTCTTCGTTCTCCCCCCGTCGAAAAATAAAGCATCATCGTCGGTCTCGAGTTATTTTAGCGAACGCGACGGGAAGAAGCGATGTCGCTTTTTAAGCGCGCATTTGTCCTCGTTGACTTTTTGCCCGCGCCAGATGTCGTCCCCCGGCTAATTGTAACCGATCACCGTCGTTCCGTTTTGCTTTAAGCACGGGGCTTATAAGTGAGCGCTTTTTGGGAGACCTAAATTACTTGAATTCCTCTCTCTCTCTCTCTCTCTCTCGCTCTCTCCGCCGCGGGTACGTTACGTTTATATATAGGATCTATTCGAGCACCGCTTTGTGGTAAATCTTTCCTCGCTGACCGCTTAAAATTAATCGTATATTCGCGCTAAGACACGGCAAAGGCCATTAATATTTCATTCACGGCAACATAATATTCTCAAAACTCATCACGTATTCCAACGTCAATAAGCAAAATCCTTGGGATAACTGGTAAGCTCAGATTTACTATGCGGTGATGTTCTTAGGAGCCGCCCGTAGCGGTTCTCAGAAGCCCAGAGCGGTTTTGAATAATACCGACTAAACTTTACTTCGTGAGATCAGATGAGTGGAGTAGAGTGAAGTGAGGTAATTTAGAGATAAACGAGATAATGTGTATTAATATACCCCGCTTATAAAATTGACAATTAAAGCTACGTATGATAATAGAAATCGCTGAGTAATAATGCGTACTCTCTCGCAATGTCTGATAGTTATTTTAAAAAAATATAATGTAGCTGTAGAAGAGTCGATTTTGTTCCACTTAATCTCGCAAATTCTTTATTCACTTGTTGAGTACATGCGAGTTTGTTTTAAGCCGCTCCATTCTGCATAAAGAGACGTAAACATATATTTTTAATGAAATAATGCAGCGCTCTTGAAATTGTGCGCCGTATGTTCTACCACTTTAGTGCTCGCAACATGTAAATGCCTTAACGAGGCAAATGCTACGTCGACTCAATTAAGCCATGAAAATGTAACGTTACAAAACGAAACGTAGTTCATAGTTGATTCGTCTAATTGACGCGGAATAAATGAAATATATGCAGCGTTAAATTGCTCAAGATCTCTCTCTCTCTCTCTCTCTCTTTCTCTCTGTTATAGTTATACATTTATTTGTGTCTGCACATCGTAGTAACTGATGAGTTGAGAAATTATCCAACTTGCAAACGAATCTCAGACGTTGATTAAAAAATTGGCTCGTCAACACAACTTCTCAGCCGCTTGGTGCGAAAGATGCAAGCGCGTTAAAGCGGATGGTCGTTAAAGTTAAATTGCCAACAGAACGTTTTATTTCGTAATAAAAAGCGTAGTATACACGGAGTATTGAAACTATTCATGACTAACTGCTAATATGAGTCAATTTAAGCTAATGTAACAAGTGTAAATACAACAGGCCCCATTCTAACCGCAGCGTTCAGCGTTGAACGCATCTGTGCCTCTGGTAAAGAAATTTTTCACTTATTTCGCGAAAAGATCGCGTGCAATTTGACTTTAGCTTAAGATTGAAGCAGCCAATTTTCGCACCGAACGTGCGGTTAAAGTATAGAGCAACGTCTGTCGTACAGTAGATGGAGAAAGCATATCGACAGTCACCTTTATTATCGAGCAAGAGTAAGGCAGGCAAGTGACAGCTTAAGAGTCACAGCAACTGGAGAAAATGTCGCAGTGATAAATTATCAGCAACAACAGAGAAATGTAACCCGTGAAATTCAATCGACTGGCGGGCGCGTCCTACTTCGGCGAATTCCATTGGTGAAAATAATCAGCTGTTTCAAAGTCGGGCGATCCGCCGCGCGTCCGGCCTCGTAAGTCCTGCTTGGATCCCCGATACCTCGATAGTATCGCGAGCATCCCTTATCCGGACGCGCCCGTGATTCGCGCGGTTTCGATTCGACAGCGCACGTAGTGGAGTGTGCAGGGCCGCGTAGGAGCGCCTGGGGTGGCGTCGCTCTCTACGGAGTAGGGTGGGTGAGGAAGGAACGGTAGAGAGCGCGGGTGGCGGCGTGCGGCGTCGGCGGTGGTGGGGTCGGCGCGGCAGGGGAAACGGAGCACGCGGGTTGCCGAGAGAGGCAGCAGGCAGGGGTACCGGCCACCACGCCGGTAGGGGTGGCGGTGAATCCCTCGAAAGTCCGACGGTGCTCTCTCTCTCCACTCTCAGTCCCGAGAGCGGAGCCAGAGGCGAGAGAGCGCGCACTCGAAGCTCGCTCGTCGTTCCGCGTCTCTCGCGTATTGTAGCGCGTCGTCGATCATCTGTTCGTTCATCGTTTGTGTTGTCCGCACGTCTCGCGATCAGCGAAACGTACGTCCTGCGACAGCGCGGCACGCCGACACCTTGCTCGCGCGGGTAAGCTCGCGTCGTCACGATCCCGAGGTGTTGTGAAATCCGCACGGTGTCCGGGGATTCACTCCGATACCAGTGCGTCGGATGATGCCTCCCGATTTTCCTCTGCCAGCCCTCGCCAGCGCGACGGACTGGCAGCGGACTGGCAGAGGCTGCTTCGCGAAAGTGCCGAGTTTTCGTCGTTGGGGAGAAGCTTGGCAGCTACGAGCCATCGCTCTGTGCGAAGGGATGCTGCGATGGACGCTTTTTCGCGAACGGGGGTGTTTGCGTGTGCTCGGTCTGGCGAGAGGCTTTGTCGAAGGGCGGGTTGGAATGTAGCAGCGGTCGGAGAGCGTTTTGCTCCGAATTTCCCAGCTGCCGGAGCATCGGCGACTGACGCTTAACGACGAGAGAGAAAGAGAGAGAGAAAGAGGGAGAGAGAGAGAGAGAGAGAGAGAGAGAGAGAGAGAGAAAGCGAGAGACGGAGGCAGAGCTCGCCGATCGACTACGCGGTGTGCGCGTCAGTATAACAATATCCGAGTTAGGAATCCTCGAAGGGCACCGGTCAGGTCAGGCTCTCTCGCCGAGTCAGAGAGGAACGTACGATGCACTCGGTGGAAACACGAGACTCGCACTCGCGCGAGAGATCGATCGTCACGTGCTCCAGACGGCTGCCGGAGTTCGCGTGCCGATCGCGAAGGCCCGTCACGTGCCTCTCGGCCGCGGAGGGTGGGTCGAGACTGTCCGACCTCGTTTATTCTCGCGTTCGCTGCCCCGCGGATGCATCTTCGATTTTTTCTCACTCCAATACGCGCTGCAGCGCGCATGCAAAACGCGCGAGACTGCGACGACGACGACGACGACAACGACGACGATGTTCGGCATATTCGCGTTGTCGCGCAGTTTACATATTGCTCTTCTCCATTCGCCGTTGTAAATAACAAAAGTGACAGAATAGAGGGAGAGAGAGAGAGAGAGAGGGGGAGGGAGGGAAAAAGAGAGGAAGAAAAAAGGGCAGAGAGGGAGAGCAGGTACGAGATTGTGGCTACGATTTGACGCGAGTGGGATTTACGAGCGAGAGGTAGTTGGCTGTCCGTGACGCGCGCGGCTTGCTCTTAAAATAAATGTCGACGATACACGTTGTCGCGCCGGTCGCAAATATTCATCTTTTCCCTTTTTTCGGGTGCACGCGTGATTTTATCCCGACAGGATGCGACGAGAGAAGTAACGCGACGCGACGGCAGAGATGCGGTGGGAAAGGGAAAATGCGAGCAGGCCCTTGCATGCGGCGGCTACGAGAACAATCGTAGTGTAGAAGCAACACACACGGGGAGACGAGCGGCACGGGGAGTCGGGACAAAGCGGTCCTGCTCGCACCATGCATATGCACGAGGGACTTTGTGTACCCGGTTTGCGGGCCGGTGATTACAGGTGGGAATAAACCGATACCGGGATACGGAGCCTGCCTAAATATGCGCCGTGACCTACTTAAGTAAGTTTCGGACGTTCGCCGTCCTAATCCTACCGCGGCGGTCTCTCTCTCTCTCTCTCTCTCTCTTGTTCTCTGCCTCACGATCTTCTCCTCTCTCTCTCTCTTTCTCGACGTAATATCAAATATCAACATTTGCACATCGAGTCGTGCGCGCGCGCGCGCGCGTTCTCCAAAGGCGAGAATACGACGGAAGTTACGAACGCGCGCTAGTTAATTTTACGAAGCGGACCTCACAAATGGGAGCGTATCGCGCGTGAACTTTCGAAGCAAACGCGTTCAGTCGTTTGTTGATGCAGAATATGGGGCGACGTGTGGAGTGAGGAAAAAAAAGAAGCGTCAGCCGGCGAGAAAAGCATGTCGCTGGCGTGGTCAGCGCGTGAAAAAAATACTCGGTGGAAGCGAGCGACGCGCTGAATGATTCTCGTCGTAATGTCCGAAAAAAAGAAAAATAACGAGCGGCGCTTCGCCCGCCGGGTCACCCTAATTACGCGCGCAATCCCCGATATCAATCGGAGCGTGTATTAGCGCGTAGCGGCACACCGAGAGGACGCTAATTTATGACCGGCTTTTTTAACATTCCGCGAGGCACGTTGGGTGTATCGGTGTATCAATCTACAAGTACGACCGGCCTCCCGGGACGATCAATTTAAAAGGCCGTCCGTTTGCGCGAAACGCGAAGATGATTTATGCCCCGTCCCGAATACCGCGCACTCGAATCCCTCGCGAAGGGCGGATTTCGGCAGCCGACGGCCCGAAATTACCCGATACCTCAATTAGCCGCGTAAATCATCGGCGCGCGAAGGGCAAACGTTAAACGACTAACGCTGCATGCGCATTTTCGCGATTGTGCCGCCGTGATTTTCTACGAGTTCCAATTGCGTCCTGTGAAAACGATGACGTTTTCGCGGATCGCAGAATCGCGCGCTTACCCCCGCGAGTTCTGTCAGATTTCGCGGCAATCGCAGAGTATTACGCACGTTTGTCAGAGATTTAAACCTACATTAATAGTCGTTTAAAGTTTGCCTCACGCGAGATACTCAGATTCTTTCTCAATAGAATCCATGTTTTTCAGTTGAATTATACGATATTGTGACATTATGTATTAGTATTGATATTCGTTATTTTTGAAACTTGCTTCAGGCGAGATGCTCTGATTTTAATTTAGAGTTTATTTTAGAGTTAGAACTGAATTTTTTTCAGCTTTGAATCATACACAATTTACACGACAATATTACATTTTGCAATTCGCAATTCAGCTGAAAGATTCATATGCAACTCTCAATTTATTTGAGTATTTCACCCGAGGTTCAAATAACGGTTATTAATATGGTTTATTATGGTCTGTATCAATAGTCATTATTTGAATCTTGTCTCAGGTGAGATACTCAGGCTTGTATTTAGAGTTTGTATTTAGTGTAAAGTATTGAGTAAATCTGAATTCTTCAGTTGTGTCAGACGATACACGTGACACTGTGCTCGCAGTCGCAATTTCAATGAAAAATTCACATGTAACTCTAAATTAGAACATGAGTATTCTGTTTGAGGCAAGTTTGAAGTAACCGCTATTAATACAAACCTACGTCTGTAATCGTTATTCGACTAAGGAACTCTCATCTAACTGAAACCTAAGTATCTCATTTGAGGAAAGTTTCAAGTAACGATTATTAATATGGGCCACAGACACTTGGTAACGCGCGCATCTGAGGATGAACGCGAGTGTAACGCAAATCGCGTTTGCTTCAATGACGCAAACGATGCGTTACGTATGTCAAACGTATCGATTTCTTTGGAAAATTAGAATTAGACGCGCTCAACGGTGCTGTCCTCAGAATGCACACTCAGAGTTTCTCACAGTCATTTGAGGCGATGTCAGCGCACGAATTACATCACGATAACGACCACTGAAGTCGCAATTCTCGCATAATACCTCAATTGGCGATTCCTTAGACACACGCGTGCACCTTATTCGACGTAAATCGGAGCACTCGCGTCGCTGGGGTAACGCGAAACCGCAGACACGCGAGCCGAGCAGGATAAATCTGGGGCCTCTTTAACAACACGTTGCTAAACGATCGACGAGCTCCTTCTTCGCGAAACGGAGTTCCACCAGGCGATTTGAGTCGCGTCGCTTACGACGGCGTTTTAGTATTGAAGTTTAACAGGTCCTTCACGTCGACGTTACGCCCGGGGGAATTCGATCGGCTTCTCCTCTTCTAAAGCCCGATAATCGGATTCCGTGCATTCGACGATGCAATGAGAATATTCACCGATCCGCCGTACTTAAAAGGCCTAGCCGTTATCGCGATCTTTCCGCTTCGTGAAAATTAATGGCGATCTTCGCGAGTCGCGAAGTCGTCGGCAAGTCGACTCGATTCTTTGGCAGCTCGAGGAGCACCTGTCTCGCTGGAGGCGACAGACGCGCTTCTCGCGATCGGGAAAGCGGAGGAATCGCGCGACTCACGATCGTCCTTGTGGCGGCAGGTCCGTCCGACTGCTCCTGGTGACGCGGACCTCGCAGGTAAATTGCAGATTCCTCGTGGCACACAGTGGTGCGTCTCGCACGTTCCGTCCGCGAGTCGAGTTGTGCAGTGGCGCCGATTCGCGAAGAGCCGCGCCGAGGAGAAGCCCTGAGGAAAGAAGTGGTGCACGAGGAGAGATGCGCGACGCGGACGAGAGGTTGATGCACGGCGTCGCGGCCGAACGACTTCAGCTTCGCGTGGCGGTGCATCGTCGATGCTGAATCGCGCTCGCGGCGCGTCCGCGTTAGTGTTCGAGCGGACTTTCGCGCGCGGATGACAGCCGGAGGACTCCTCCGTCGCGGGAGTGACAGTGAGGCCCTCGAGCCTTGAGCTGGCAAGGGACGAGTCTCGGCGCACGTCGGGTGATCCGTCAAGAGAAAGAGAGAGAGAGAGAGAGAGAGAGAGAGAGAGAGAACTGCTGCAACGTGAACGGGTGGTGATCGGTAGTGATGCCGTGATGGGCTGCAGCTCGAGATCGTTCTTCTTGACCACGCTTCTCGCGGCTGGATTACTCTCGATCGTGCTGTTCGCCGAGTTATCCTGCGCGACACGTAAGTTTGTCTTTGAGTCGTCCTCGTGGACAAGTTCACGACGTTCCCTACGTGGTTCATTGATTCATTGATTCACGCTGGGACGTTCGCTCGCTCTTGGTGAGAACTCGGCAGTCGAAGAGTTAAGAGCAGTCCTCTGCGCGAACGTACTTATAAGCGCCTGATGTGAGGGGCGTTCGGTTGGAAGAGGACGGAATAAGGCTGATTTGACAAATTTCGGAACATTAACTCTTCGAGTGCCGTCTTGCTTTCTGTGATAGTTCGGCACTGAGAGAACAAATATCTGAGAAATAGAAAATAGTTATTCGTTGGGTACTGAGACACATGTATTTATATTAATATAACATATTTTTTGAATAGGAAAATATACATTTCCTTAAGACTTTAAAAAAACCTCAGCTTTTCATGAAAGTAATCATTTATTCTGTTCAAATAAAAAATTCAGATTTAAAGGAGAATTAGCGTACTTACGAAATAAATATTTACTATTATTTACTATTTTTTAGATTTTTTCTCCCAGTGTGCCAAAAGTGCTGAAAGAATTTCGTGGAAATGTTTTCAGCAAAAATACATGAAATATGTAATATGACAGCTACATTGTTATTTATGCTATAATTTTGAAATAAATAATTTGTATATGTATGCATCTGTGAGAGGTATGTACATTCGAATTTGACTTCGTAATTCTGCGGGGTGGGCGTTTGATTGATCGATTATACACGTTGTGTGCTTTAATTACTTTGTCGGCGCAAGAGATTGCAGGGACGCGAATAAATTGCACATTAGTCCGCGCATCCGATAAGTTTTGGATTCGCACGTTCGCGTATCGATATCCGATCTGTCCTCATTTGTCACGCCGCTGTTTCGCATTTTGAAAATTCTTATTGGACCCCACGGCAACGAGAGCGGATTAGTAATGTACGAGCCATTACATGATTTAACGGCAATTTTGGACGTAGCAAATTTTAGTTACGATATTGTGCTCTACAAATGAAGGCATGCGTTAACTTTACCTTTTCACGCGCTTATTTCCTACTTTTGTGAACCTCTGTATCGATATTATCGCGCTAAGGACCGTATTGATGTTATCATGACGCGAAATGAGCGATAAGTGAGTGCGTAATTTGACTGCAGCGTGTCGACACGAGATATTTCAGCTGCGCAGTCGAATAATGTATGCACGCGTACAACAGGGATTCACTAAAAAAAAAAGAAAAAACAGTATGCATCAACGTAGAATATTCTAGACCTGTTTCCTGCGCAGATGCGATCTTAGGATGCATCATAAAAATTGCAACGCCTGAATGGAATTTTCTCTTTTTCGCACAAATTCGAGTTTGGAGAGGAGGAATTAAGATTACGAAAATATGGCGAATGAAATGGATGAAAAATACAAAAGGGACGGTACGAATATCACACGGGACTTATAAATGTGTCGAGAGAATATTAGGTTATTTTTTCAAGGTAAAGCGCTCCTAGAGTATGTATTGTTGTTAAATTCCGAGAGTAATTACGGCGATAACGAAGTTGAAAAATGCGATAGAAGCGAACATGTTAATTATAAGCTAAAAGTTGCAAACGCGGTATAGCCAGTTAGAGATACACATTGTATCCCGCAAAAATTCGCCAAAAGGGCTTTTATTCGAATCTCTGAGGGAGCAACGCTTTCGCATGTGGCGATGTTTAAAAAAATGGAGTCCAAATCTGTCTTTGCCGTTTGGAGCGACGCGCTCGGAATTACGCGGACGGAGATTACGCGGGCGCAATATAAATTTGCCGCTTTGCATTATTTTTCTGTCCGCGCCGCTCTCCACCATCCGAAGCACAATCGCGTAATTGCGGGCGATTAGCATTCCGCGCGAGAAGATCGCGGAGATTCCGTCGCATCCGTCCGAGGAAGCCTCTCATTAGAGCGCGCAACGGAACTCGATGGGTCTAATTATTTTCCGAGTGCCTCCAAACTCGAGAGATTCGCATTTCGGGATTCGCGATTCCGGATCGAGGTCACGGGCGTCAATATCATCCCTTTCCGCACTTTTCAAAAGAGAAGTCTCACCTAATCCATATCTGTTTCCCTTATGTGCCGCCCTTAACGCCACATGCATCCGCGCATACACCCCACACCACCGACACGCGTGTGCAACCGCAAACAGTCTCCCTCCCTCCCTCGTCCGTGTGCGGCAGCCATTCCCAAGATACGCGCAATCATATTTTGTGAATTGTGCGTGCAAGTAGATAGAGAGTAGTTGCGCGGCAAGGGCAGACTACTCGTATCTATCCGAAAAGTAAGAAGAAACATTCGCGTTCGACTTTATGAGTCGTGCGAAAACGTTTATGGTTTTCGCGCGATAACAATCGTTGCGGAAGCTTATTTTGCTCGACTCGCGCACGACACTATCGGGACGAGTTCTCTGTATTCTTGTACACCAAGAGAAAGAGAGAGAGAGAGAGAAAAAGATAAACTAGAACACGCTCCACACTTTTGCATGCGTGATAAAAAAGTGGGAATCGAGGAAATTTATTAAATTTACTCGGTTATATTCGCGCGCGTGTTGAACAAATGTGCTAAGCATAATATAAGATCACGATCGCACACCCGCGCACCCGGCACAACAAAACGCGAGGAACAAAGTTACGCGCATACATCCGCGGGCTTGAATAAATTTCAACTATATTTGCTTTCACGATACCGTGAAATGTGCGATATAAAAAATTTCAACCCCCGGCTCAGCGGCAAGTAATGGGACATTTCGCGGAATTTTCACAATTGCATCCGGCCTCCGCACGGCCTCGTCACGGCAGCTTTTTGAAAACGATTAGAGTATTTAAAAAGAGAAAAAAATAATAATAAAAGCGGAGAAAAAAAAATGCGAAAAAAAGAGCGGAGCGAAAGCTCCCCGAGAGCAGCGCCGCGGTGATGATGAAATGGCCTGTTTAGCCGAGAGTGTACGTGGCGCAACGTGAAAAGGCAGGGGCGACACAACGGAGTATAATCTCCCGCCTCCCTACTGTCGGATCGTTGGGGATCCCGGGGGTTGTCTCTCGGTGGGTCACGACGGGCGAGAGGGAACGCGCGGACGCGCGGGGACCGGCGGGGTGGCAGGGGATGACTGCTTCGTTCAAAGGACGTTGAAGCGGGCGAATGGGATGCGGACGTCGTTGTCACGACCAGGCGTGAGGTCGCTGATATTCCCTTGTCTTTTATTAAGGAGGGCTTCCTTTCTGCGTTTTGCGCCGCTCTTCCTTTCACGCGCGTTGCTCTGTTTAACGGGCCGCCGATGTTTTTTTCCGCGCTTCGTTCTGTCCATCTGGTCGCCGACACCCCCTCCTCCCTCCCCTCCGCCTCCGCCACTAGTACACCTCTGCGAATAATGCTATAATTATTTCTCTTCTCTTGTTCTTTTTTCTCGCTCCCTTGCTCGCTCCTTCGCTCGCTCGCGCTCTTTCCTTCTCTCCCCCGTGTCTCTCTTTGCTCAGGTACGTTTCTGTACTCTCTGCGGACGATTCTTTGCGGCATTCCGTCCGTCCCGGCGTATACAGTTTTTTTCTTGGTCATTAACGCCCAACAGACCGTGCGATGAATGTTTAATTTCGACTTTCTCGCGTTCCGCGAAAAATTGGTGGAGCCTGAAATACCGCGCCGCGGTATTTTTTTACTCTCGAGCGAGAGAGCTTGTCGCTGGAATTGAAGTCCGGGAGGTTCCGCACTTGTTAAGCGTCGAATTAAAAAATTTCACTGACGACGGTGACGGCGGCGATGACGGCGGAAAATATTGCGGAAATACTATCGAATGTAGTGCGCGCAGTCGGGACGATCGAGTTAAGGCGACGTTGCTTCCGAGAGGAACACGCCAAGTATGCTGAATTAGTCGCAGACGTGCGTTTATGCAATGTCGCGGGAAAGTATTCTCGTGCGGCTTGCTTAGCGTCTCCCGCAGGCACGCTCCACTGAAATCAGTCTCGTTCATAACGAGGCGAGTGCCGCGTTTCGTGAATATTAATTTCGATCCCGCGCGACGGAGATCGACGTGTCGGCGTAAGGTGTTACTCACCCTCCCCAGAAATATTTGGGAAACGCCGCCACGTTCGCTTCATATCGCCCCGCCATACATGATGCAAAACTTTCGCGAAGATATTCGCGAGCGACCCCGTTTCTCCACGCGCTTTCTCGGTTCTCCCGAAGAAAACTTTTTCGTGCTCTTTTTTCTCGAGCGAGCGACGTTGCAGTCGTTTCGAATTCTCCGCGTTTATTCTGGACCCCCTTTGAGAGAATCGCATATAATTATATTTGTCTCTCGACGTAATATAAAACTGTCTTTTTTCCCTCCTTCCTTCTCGATCTTCCCTATCGTTCTGTGCGGTGTCTGGAACGGGGGAGAGGAGGTATGCGTTCGATTTTACATAGGAATGTTGGGTGGTGCATTGAAATTTTGCTTTGATCAAAAGCGCCGCTTTAAAGGTCCGTGTTCTAACGCCATCTTTAAAAGTACCATTTACTCTTTTCTATGTCGCGATATTGGCTCTGTGAAAACACACCCGGCCGTTACAGATGTATATGTTAAGCGATACGCGAGCGCTCGCTTCACCCATCCGTCTCTCCCTTTGTAGCCAGCTATCTCTCGGGAATCGCGCAGCTTTGTTCGGCATTTTTCTTACTTCACATTCTCGTTATCAACGTAGCGCAAATAAACGTTGGGCAACGACGCGATCATTTCTGTTAAAGCGATCGTGTCACAGGTACGCTCGCTCGTGTGTTCCCTTTCGCGATGGCGTTCTTTATTACTGCCAGTCGTTCGTCTATACCTGCGATCTCTTTACGCGACGCCATGTTTTCGTAGACCATATCTCCCTTTTGCGGGCTTGGGGAGAGAGAGGGAGAGGGTGGGTCTTGTTTATTATGCTTTCCTCTGTATTCTCTCCGTAGGAGACAACCGCGTCTCAGCGTTCGTCATCTCCTTGGCTCTCTCTCTCGCCCTGTGCTCGCCGTGTCTCTCTCCTTT